TTGGTTTTCCTCTTTGATTATTTTCCCCGCTTTACTGTCCTACCTCCCACTGTTAGTTTTCATTGTTATTTTCCATTTCCTCTTCTTGAAATGTTTTGCCAAGGATGTTTTGAAGAGATGGTTTTCTAGCTGCGAATTCTTTTAACTTTTGTTTATCATGGAAGGTTTTAATTTCATCTTCCATCCTGAAGCTTAATTTCGCTGGATACACGATTCTTGGTTGGAACCCATTTTCTTTCAGTGTTTGAAATATGTTATTCCAGGATCTTCTAGCTTTCAGAGTCTGTGTTGAAAGATCAGCTGTTATCCTGTTTGGTTTACCCCTAAATGTAATCTGCTTCCTTTCTCTTGTAGCTTTTAAAATTCTCTCCTTATTCTGTATGCTAGGCATCTTCATTATAATGTGTCTAGGTGTGGATCTCTTATGATTTTGCACATTCGGCATCCTGTAGGCTTCTAGGATTTGGGATTCTGTCTCATTCTTCAAGTCAGGGAAGTTTTCTCATATTATTTCATTGAATAGATTGCTCATTCCTTTGGTTTGGACCTCTATACCTTCCTGTATCCCAATGACTCTTACGTTTGGTCTCTTTATGTTATCCCATATTTCTTGGATGTTCTGCTCATGGTTCCTTAGCAGTCTTGCTGAGCCATCTATGTTCTTTTCAAGTTGAAATACTTTGTCTTCATTGTCTGATGTTCTATCTTCTAAGTGTTCTACTCTGCTGGTAATATTCTCAATTGAGTTTTTAAGTTGGTTTATTGCTTCCTGCATTTCTAGGATTTCTGTTTGTTTTTTATTACCTCTATCTCCCTGTATCGTTGATCTTTTGCTTCTTGGATTTGTTTTTGTAATTCATTGTTAAAGGGATCTTTCATACTCTGATTTTGCTGTCTAATGTCTTCCTTGAGACTCCAGATCATCTGAAGCATGTATATCCTGAATTCTTTATCTGACATTCCATCTGCTGCAGATATTTCCTGTTCTAAAGTTGAGTTGACCTGCATTGCTTGTGGTCCTTTCTTTCCTTGTCTTTTCATACTGCTCGCATTTCTTTCTGCTTGGTGAAACTGTTGTGTTATTGAATTTTCCCCCTATATATTTATATTGCTCTTGTATAGTTGCAAAGTCTCTCTTTTGTGGAGAAAGACAATGTTAACAGTTCTCCGTATCAATAGTACATCATCGAAGCACACGTTTTCCTTATTACTACATTTATAGCTAGACTCTGTCTACAAATGTTGGTTTCGATTATTGTTTACAAATACAGTCATTAGTTTCATGAAAGGCATACCATTTCTGGTAGCTTGAAGAAAACTGGATTTCAGGTGTAGGATGTTATGTTTATGGGGAAAGGAGTGAGGGTATGGGGTTAATCTAACTTAGTAACTTTGGAGAACTCTAACCAATAGATGGGTAATTTATGGAAGAATGTATAGATTCAAATTCCTATCTGTATTTATAAGATTACCCTACTTATGAATAGTAAAATTTAGGGGGTTGCAAGTGGGATAGAGGGTGTAAGAGGGAGGAAAACAGATAACAAGGAAAGGGAGAGAATAAAGAGCGGGAAAAAGAAAATATGAGAAAAAAAGAAAAGGAATAAAAAGGGGGAAGGGAGGTGGGGCATATGCAATTCCTCTATAGTATATTATTCTGGTGATTCAGTTGTTAAAGACCTTTTTCGTGTACAATTTTTGGCTTCAAATATGTTGAGGTTGCGAAGACCCGAGGGGGAAGGGTAGAGGAGACTGGGTGAATGGCTGAAGAGAGCGAGAGAGGAGAAAAAGAAAGAAAAAAAGAAAAAAAATGTCTCTCAGAACTCTGTTTTCATTTCTTCCAGTTGGTGGAGTTGTCTATTCCTAGCTTGAGTCTCTGGGTTCAGCATGGTGGTGGTAATCAGTGTGAGAGGACTTGAGCTTCCACCTGTGACCTCTCTACTCTTATTCTCTGAGATGTAAACCAGGTGCCTGATCCGCTGCAGAACTGCACTGGTAGTCATGCCAGTCAACCGGTTGGTGGGATTTCCAAGATGAGTTCCATCAGTTTTTCTCATAAGGTATTTGATGAGGTGGGGGTGTTGGGGAAACCTTATGTTTGTCAAGAGCTCGGTCAGGTGACAGCATGGGCAGGCGGCAGGGCCCCCTCCTCCAGTTGGAGTGGTCTGTCTACCTCACCAGCAGGAAGCTGGGTTCCTCCAACTAGGTAGGTCTGTCTACCACTCAGGCTAGTCGCTGGGCCTGTTCTCCAGGTCGCAGGTCTGCCTACCTTGCAGGTGCAGGTGGTGGCTGTGCTCCTCCTCCAATTGGGGTGATCTGTCTATCATGCCGGTGGGCCGCTGGGCCCCTTCTCCAGGACGCGCAGTCTGCCTACCTTGTGGGCGGCGGCTGGGCCCTTCCTCCAATTGGAGTGATCTGTCTACCATGCTGGCGGGCCGCTGGGCCTGTTCTCCAGGTTGGTCGCAGGTCTGCCTACCTTGCAGGCGCAGGTGGAAGTTCTGCCCCTCCTCCAATTGGGTTGATCTGTCTACCATGCCAGCGGGCCACTGGGCCTGGAACAGCTCATTTTTAAACCATTACTTATAAGAACACAAGTGCCATTGAACAAGTAGCATACATTGCTCTCCTTATAAGGAGAAATATTTCCACAACTTTTGTTTTTATCAAAATTTTAAAAAATAGGGACACACTGTAAAACTTACCAGTGTTGTTATATGAAATCACAATAAATAATCCTATTCATTATAATATGCATGAATACATTCATGAAATCTTTCAATATTGTTTTCTTTTGTTATCATAATCATCTCAAAAAGGAGAGAGAAGTGGAGAAGTAGTAGTAGTGTGGGGGAGGGGTACTTCAAATTACATTGAGAAACTATGAATATCTCCAGTGCCCCAAGGCTGACAGATAAACAAATGACCTTGAGTTGCCTCTCTAATTGACTCCTGAATGCCTTCTTTCCTACATTTAAACTTCAGAGAGACAGGTATTGGATCTGTTTTGCTTACTTACATACTAAACATAATACTTGGAAAATAGTAGGTGCTCAATAAATATTTTTTTGAATGAACACATTTTCAGGTATAGATGAAACTGAAAACAAAAGCATTTTTTTTTCACTTACAAATATACCTGTTGAATTCTCTAATTTAATCCCAGCTCCTAACATGGTCTACATGAAGACTGAAGACGTCAAAATTAAATCTTCATTGTTTAAATCAATAAATCTTTATTGAGCATTTACTACATGCTAAACACTGCCTGGTAAAGAGAAGTAACTAACACATATGAAGGCTCTAGTTTCATGCCTATTAGTTTACAGTGTAAATATCAGTTTGGAGGTGGTAAAATATGAAAGAAAAGACAACTGAAATATACTAAAGATGGTTTACTCTTCATATTCTTTTTTAACCTCACTCATTCTCATGTCTCAACAGACAGGGTCTTACAGTTTTAAATACTTTTATGGTCAAGGACTTTCTCACAATATATCTAAACTTTAGAAATGTCCAAAAAAGCTGAGTGCAGTGGCACAAGTTTATAATCCCAATGGCTCTGAAGACTAAGGCAGGAGAATCACGAGTTCAAAGCCAGCCTTAGCAACAGCAAGGCACTAAGCAATTCAGTGAGACCCTGTCTCTAAATAAAATACAAAATAGGGCTGAGAATGTGGTTTAGTGGTCGAGTGCCCCTGAGTTCAACCCTACATATATCCCCGCAAAATGTTCAGAAAAGTACTTATTAGAATATTTCCAAAGGTTTTGCTGTATCATTAGCCTCCAATTGTAGTATGTCATTCAAGCCTTCAGAATACATATACATGAAAATACATCCATATATACTTATGCAGAAATATTCATTTCTGATACAATAAAAAGCTAGAATTGATTTTCCTCAAAGCCTTCGGACTCAGAAGTGTTCTAACTGCTCAAAGTATTTCATAATGACCTGCTGAAACCTTTTCAAGAATACTCTTGTTCAGTCTCCAACATAATTTAGCATTGGCTTATAGCTTCTATACAAATTACAGTTTCTCCTTATAGGCATTAAAATTAACATACATGCATACTTTGGTTTGTATAGAGGGAAGTAAGGGGACTGGTAGGATTGTGGGGATGAGAAGAACAGTATAAAGAGACAGATATTATTACCCTATATACATGTATGATTATACTAGTGAAGTGACCCTGAACCATGTACAACCAAAGGAATGGGAAGTTGTGCTCCATTTGTGTACTATATGTCAGAATTCATTCTACTGTAAAATAAATAAATTAATTTAAAAAACTAACATGCATGATACTCATCAGCTACATTGTTTTTTTTAAAAAGTATGTCTGCTATCAGGTACTAATCTGACAATGTTAAAAATGCCCCATTTATCAAAATTATACCAATTTTTAAATTTTCTACACAATTATTTCTCAAAGGTACCCAAAAGTAGCCCCACTTCAAAAGAGCAAACTTGATTTACAGAAATACCTATGTGGTATTGCCAGATAAAATACAAGACACTCAGTTAAATTTTTAGTATAGCTGAAATTCAAAGTTTATTCGGTGTCCTACATTTTTCTTTGCTAAATATAGTAACATTGGCCTATGGGCCCCTACAAAAACACCATTTCAAACAAGGAAAAATTAATTAGTGGTATTTTTTGCTATGTCAAACAAGAATCAGCAAATATGTATGCAATACCAAAACCCAGAGTGAAATTCACTCACACTAAATGAATGAATCAAAGACTAAGTGTAACCATTCTCTTGAAAAACATCTTAACTTAAAAAAATTCTATGAAAAATATTGTCCATGAGTTATGTACCATTCAATAATAACTGCAGAAAGTTCCACTGAGACTATTTCTTTGTGCATAAAAGTATTTAAGTATTATGAATTCAATTTTTACTTGAGAAAAAGTTGAGGTATTCCTAACCATTTATTTGAAAGTACCATGAAGAAAGTATGAAACAGATGTCACCGATTTTTTTTATAACATACCCTGATGATGCTGACATAGATGAATTGCCTCATAGGATTGCTGATCAACTTGGAGGGACTCCAGGTACATCACAAGTCTCTCAGCTGCAGACACCATTTTCAGTTCATTAATGAATTTTTGAGGTAAAAATCTGTCAGTTACTCTTAAGAATTCCCTGTAAAATAAATTTAAAAATACTTAATTGATGCTGCATCAATGATTATTCATAATAATAAATTAATCCTGCCTCTCCTTTAATAGCTGTACACAACTACTATGAAAAATCAATATAAGAATTACGCTATGAAAATCAGCACTCTCAGCAACATAGAAAACACTTTAGTCTTTGATTCATTCAATTACCATTAAGAGTCTACTTCTAGGCAATGTTCACACAGGAATTATCAAAATGAAACACAGAATAGAATGATGATTATCAGTGCAGTCTAATTTCTTTAACAGAACCAAAGACCCAAACTAAGAACACCTAACTTGGCAGAGCAGAAAAGGAAAGGCTGAGTGTTCTAGTCAGATTTTTCACTCCTGTGACCAAAAGACCCAAAATAATAATTTTAGAGAAGGGAAAGTTTATTTTGAGGGATCACAGTTTCAGAGGTCTTAGTTCATAGGAGGTTGGTTCCATTCCTTGTGGCTTGAAATGAGGCAGAATATTATGGCAGAAAAGGGTGGTAGAGGAAAGTGATTCAGGGCTGATCAGGAAGCAGAGAGAAACTCCACTCACCAGATGCAAAATATATACCCCCAAATCACACTCCCAATGACCCACCTCTTCCAGCCACACCCTACCTGCCTTCCCTTACCACTCAGGGGATTAATGCACTGATTAAGGCACTCATAATCCAATCATTCCACCATAAAATAAGGAGCAAATGTCTTATGCACATCACAATTATTAACCTGTTAAGGATTTAAGTATGTGGATGACTTATTCCATTTAAGAATAACTAAGAATTACTAAGAATTCAAAGAATGCCTCAAATCTGAATTAGTTACTTAAGTTTAGTGCTCCCAGCTGGGAAGATGAATCAGTTCATTGAAGCTTTAAAACCAAGCATACTCTTCTCCTTGATGATACCTGTTCTTTGGGACATCTCTTTCTAAAATAGAGCAGATTCTTCTCTAAGGATTTCTCCAAGTTACCAAATGTCATAGTGAAATTCTTAGTAGCTCCAGTATGTATGCCACTTAAATGTATATTTTGATGTTACCATATGCAACCAGCCTTACAGTGGCAAATTCACCAACCTCAGCCTTTACATTGATCAACTCCTAGTCTATTGTTGAATAATGTTACACTAAAGGCCATCTGGTGATGAGGCTCATCCTTTATAGCCTGGTAGTTCTTACTCTTGGCTGAGCACTGGAATCTCAGAAAAGACTTACTCTATAGTAATGCCTGGGTCCTAGCCACAGGAATTCTGGTATAATTGTTAAATGACATGGCCTGCACATTGAGATTTTTAAAGTTCCCCAAATGACTCTACTGGATATCAAGGTTGAGCACTACCGTTCTTGACATGATTTTCCCTCCTTATTTCATTAATTACCTTTCCTTTATGCTCACTGAAAAAGCTAAATATATATTCATAGAACTTTCTTTTTTGCTTTTTCCTTCAGAAGTGTTTCTTCTTTTCTACCCTGATGTGGTCATGTCTCTTCTCACTGGCACTTTCAAATTTATCACTACTTTGTGGTTATCAGATGTAAGTTTAATTATGCTCATAAAATTCTAAAATGTTAAGTATGAGTATACAAACTGTCTCTGACTAAGAAACAATTCACTGACCAAGATGAAAACAACTTCAGTTGACCTCTAAAGCCAACAACTGTTATAAACATTGACCACTTCAGTCTCTAAACTTCAGCCAACAAGTAACATCTTATCGGTAATCCTTTAACACAACAACAAACTAATAAAAGGTATCTTAACCTGTAAGATTCTTAAAAGACTAAACATATACAATTCTAATTTGAACTTAATTTCTTCTGATAAAAAAAAGGATTGGTTTCTTCATTGTCATCTCATGGTTTTTTCATTACCATCTCCTATTGGAAGAACAGCACAATACAATAATATCAAAGAACTTTAAACACCACTAGAGCTGCCCAAGAAACAAGCCATAAGAATCAGGATGAATTTGAGCTGTTGGAAAATCATTTTAATTGTACATTTAAAAAAACAACCAACATCGCGGCCTGAAGATCCAGAGAGGGGCCAACCCTGCGCCTACACAGAGACCCACCCTGCTCTAGCTCTAGGTTCCTTATTCACCAAAGCATGGCTCTATAGCCCAACATCAGGGTATGACTTGTGATGCCACCAACACGAAACTGGGATATCGCACTTCTATCAGGGACAACAAACATTAAGGACCTGGTAAGATGTCACCAAGGTCCCTGTGGGCCTGGATGTACCAGAGGTTTCTCTACTAGGGGTGATAACAGTTATCCTATTGTTGAGGCAACAGGGGGTCTTGCATGGTGTTGCCTATCTCTTGTTTCTCCTACTAACAGCCAACTTCTTATGATTACCCTCTCACTAGTCATAAAATCGAATACCTCCTTACTCTCATATCCTACCTCATAAACATCTCAGCTAATCCTCCAGTCCTCCCTTCTACTATTAGAAACTGTAAACCATTATGCAAGCCTGTTGACTACATGATAGAAGATAACTGAACTCACTTCTGACAAAACTGTAAATGTAAAAGTAGAAATTAACTGATATATGGCTGTATGTTAGGTACATCGAGTGCTGAAATATTGATCTCTCCCTTAAAAGTGAGGTATTGGTAACCTATAGGGACACTAAAAGACAATAGGGCAGAGCTGTAATATCTCAGATCTACACTGCAAGAAAGGAAGACACATAGACATCATAAAAAAACAAGGTAGGAAAGTGCCCCCAAACAAACCAAGATACTACAACAATAAAATCCATAGATAGCGCAGTAGGTAAAATGTCAGAGAAGGAGTTCAGAATATACATAACTATAAAAGAATTTTGGAATTAAAGAATGACCTAAGTGAACAGATACAGGCAAAAATCAATCACTCCAACAAAGAGGTAAGAGAGCAAATACAGGTTGCAAGAGATTATTTCAAGAAAGAGAGACACTGGGAAAAAAAACCCAAACAGAAATCCTTGAAAGAAATAAACAATAAGCCAATTTAAAAACCCAATAGATAGCATCACCAACAGACTAGATCACTTGGAAGACAGGACCTCAGACAATGAAGACAAAATATACAATCTTGAAAATAAAACTGACCTCACAGTGAAGGTGGTAAGAAACCATGAATAGAATATCCAAGATTTATGGGATACCATCAAAAGACCAAATTTAAGATTAACTGGGATAGAGGAAGGTTCAGAGATTCAAACCAAAGGAATGCACAATCTCATCAATGAAATAATATCAGAAAATTTCCCAAGCATGAAGAGTGAATTAGAAAATCAAATACAAGAGGCCTATAGGACACCAAATTATATTGACAAAACTGTAAATATAAAGTAGAAACTAACTGATATATGGGATATCGCACTTCTATCAAGGGACAACAAACAAAATTACAACAGGTCTACACCAAGACGCTTTATAATGAAAATGCCCAGCATACAGAATGAGGATAGAATTTTAAAGGCTGCTAGAGAGAAAAATCAAGTTACCTAAGGGAAGACCAATTTGGACCTCAGCACATTTTTCAATCCAGACTCTAATAAAAGCCAGGAGATTCTGGAACAACATATACCAAGCTCTAAAAGATAATGGATGCCAACCAAGAATCTTATATCCAGCAAAATTGAGCTTCAAATTTTACAATGAAATAAAATCCTTCCATGCTAAACAAAAACTAAATGAATTTACAGCAAGAAAGCCTGTACTACGGAACATTCTTGGCAAAATATTCCAAAAGGAAGAAATGAAAAACAACAATGAAAATCTACAAAGGGAAGAACTACAATAAAGGAAAAGCCAACCAAAGGAGAAACCAAGTCAAGCTACATACCAAAAGTAAACAAAAATGATTGGAAAACCAAATCATGTCTCAATAATAACCCTAAATGTTAATGGCCTAAACTCACCAATCAAAAGACAGAGGCTGGTAGATTTGATTAATAAAAAAGACCCAACAATATGCTGCCTTCAAGAGACTAATTCATAGGAAGACACCCACAGACTACAGGTGAGGTTGTGGGATAAAATATAATCATTCATATGGTCTACATAAACAAGTAGGGGTTTCCATTCTCATATCAAACAAAGCAAACTTAAAGCCTAAGTTAATCAAAAGGGATAAGATGGACATTTCATACTGCTTAAGGGAACCATCATCAACAAGACAACAGTTATAAATATGTATGCCCCAAACAATAGAGCATCTACGTTTATCAATCAAACTCTTCTTAAGTTCAAGAGTCAAATAAACCACAACACAATAATTCTGGGTGACTTTAACTCACCTTTCACCACTGGATAGACCTTCAAAACAAAAGTTAAACAAAGAAAGTATAGAACTCATTAATACAAAAATCAATAACTTAGACTTAACAGAAATATAGAGAGTATATTATCCATCAATAAGTGATTATACTTTCTTCTTAGAAGCACATGGATCCTTCTATAAAATAGACCATATATTCACAAAGCAAACTTAGTGAATACAAAAAAGTAGAGATACTACCCTGCATTCTATCAGACCATAATGGAATGAAATTAGAAATCAATGATAAAATAAAAATAAAAAATACTCCAACACCTGGAGACTAAATAATATGCTATTATTGCAAAAGATATGAAGGAAGAGATTAAAAATTCTTAAGAGATAAATGAGAACACTGTTACAACATATCAAAATCTCTGGGAAACTATGAAGGCAATTCTAAGAGGAAAGTTCATTGCATGGAGTTAATTCCTTCAAAGAAGAAAAAGTCAACAAATAAATGACCTAACATTATATCTCAAAGCCTTAGAAAAAGAAGAAATCAACCCCCAAAGCAGTAGAAGACAGGAAATAATTAAAATCAGAGCTGAAAAAATTGACAAAACAAAAAGTTGGTTCTTTGAAAAAATAAAAAAAAAAATTGATGAACCAT